CCTGTCCTTCAGCCCTATGTCGCGTGCCAGGACAAATCTGAGCAAAAACACAGGCGGCGTTTTTTTTCAACGAGGCCCAGCCAGGGTCTCCGAGGTCCACAGGTCTCCAAAGGTCCCTGGAGAACTCTGGCACTCCCCAGAGGTCCGTGGAGGCCACTGAGGTCGCCAGAGGCCCCCGAAGGTCTCTAGAGACCTCCCGAGGCCCAAGTTCGAACAACATCTGACCTCCTTTTCCTCCCCCTCCTCTTCCTCCTCCTCCTCATCCTTCTCCTCCTCCTTCTTCTCCGCGTCCACGTCCTCTTTGTCCTCCCCCTCCTCCTCCTCCTCCTCCTCCTCCTCCTCCTCCTCCTCCTCGACAGGCTTCATCAGCCTCCCATTCCTCCTTCTCCTCCTTCTCCTCCTCCACATCATCATCAGAATCAGACTCACCATTAGCATCATCATCATCATCATCATCATCATCATCATCATCATCATCATCATCATCATCATCATCATCATCAGCAGCAGCAGCAGCAGCAGAATCATCACCACCATCATCATCATAATCATCATCATCATCATCATCATCATCATCATCATCATCATCATCATCATCATCATCATCATCATCATCATCATCATCATCATCATCATCATCATCATCATCATCACCATCATCATCATCATCATCATCATCATCATCATCATCATCATCATCATCATCATCATCATCATCATCATCATCATCATCAGCATCATCATCCTCATCATCACCGTCACCATCAGCATATCATCGTCATCAGCATCAGCATCAGCATATCATCGTCATCATCATCATCATCAGCAGCAGCAGCATCATCAGCATCGTCATCATCATCATCATCATCATCATCATCATCATCATCAACATAGTCATCATCATCGTCATCATCATCATCACCATCAGCATCATCATTATCAGCATCATTATCATGATCATCATCAACATCAGCATCAGCATCATCACCACCATCCTCATCATAGTCGGCATCATCAGTATCGCGACCACCACCCCACCATCACCACCACCACCATCATCATCACCATCATCAGCATCATCAGCATCATCATTGGCGGCGGCGTTGTCGTCGTCATCAGCATCATTGTCACCACCAGCATCATCATGCCATCATCCTGCCTATGATCATGATCGTCATCATCATAATCAGCATCGCCATCATAATCATCATATTCACCAGATTCATCATCATGATACCCATCATGCGCGTCATCATCATCAGCATTATCACCACTGTCACCACAACCACCATCATCGTCATAAGCATCACCATCATCATCAGCATCATCATCATCATCATCATCATCACCAGCATCATCATCATCATCATCATCATCATCATCATCATCATAATCATCGTCGTCGTCCACATCCTCCTCTCGCCATAACCATCATCATCAACAACAGCATCGTCACCAGCAGCATGAACATCATCAGCATCAGCGGCAGCAACAGCAACAGCATCAGCATCATCATCATCAGAGTCGCCATCGTCAGCTGCATCTCAATAACCAAGCAAAGCAGCAGAGTCATCGACATCATCATCAAAAGCGTCCACCTCATCATCATCATCATCATCATCATCATCATCATCATCATCATCATCATCAGCAGCAGCAGCAGCAGCAGCAACATCACACCATCATCATCGTCATCCTCGTCCTCAGTAGCATCATCATCGTAACCATGCCGTTATCGTCATCAGCTTCATCAGCAGCATCATCATGATCATCATCAGCATCATCATCGTGATCATCATCGCCATCGCAATCGTCCGTGTGAAGATCATTGTCATAACCACCATCACCTCCACAACCACCATGACCATCATAATCATCATGATCGTCGTCGTCGCTGTGGTCCTCGTCGGCACTGTCGTCACCATCATCATCATCATCATCATCATCATCATCATCATCATCTACATCATCATCATCATCATCATCATCATCATCATCATCATCATCATCATCATCATCATCCGCATCATCATCATCAGCATCATCATCTCACCATCATCATCAGCATCATCAGCATCATCATCAGCAGCATCATCATCAGCATCACCATCAGCATCATCAGCATCATGATCAGTATCATCACTAGCAGCATCAACAGCGGCAACGGCATCATCATCAGCATATCATCATGAACATCATGCATATCATCACTATCACCAACCTCCTCCTCCTCCACATCTCCCCTACCATCCCCCAATTCGCACGACATCATCGTCATCATCATCATCATCATCATCATCATCATCATCATCATCATCATCATCATCATCATCATCATGATCATCACCATCATTATCATCGTCAGCATCATCATCATCATCATCATCAGCAGCAGCAACAGCAGCATCATCATCATCTGCATCAGCCTCAGCAGCAGCAGCCTCAGCATCAGCATCATCATCACCACAACTCCCCCTCCTCCTCCTCCTTTTTCTCCTCC